TTTATGATTAATGTTCACTAGACCCATCAAGCAGGGTGACCGGCTCTATGTGTGTGCACACAAACACCTTCCTGATGAATCTGTCTATAAGCCATTTGTTTCTACTATAAGATCACTGCCTCTGAGAAGAGTCTTTGTGGATGGAAGCTTGGCTATCCTTTGTGTATCCACGTCCTGGCCAGTTCGAGGAATAGAGCAGATATTCAGGAAATTACTTTTAAAACAGTACAGTACTGACTGGTTTTGTGTGTCTAGCTTGACACAAGCTAGACTCATCAGAGAGGAAGGAACCTCAGTTGAGGAAATGCCTCCATGAAATTCAGCTGTAAGACATTTTCTTATTTAGTGATCAATGCGGGAGGACACAGCACATGGTGGGTTGTGCCATCTCTGGGCTGCTGGTCCTGGGTTCTATTAGAAAGCAGGCTGAGCAAGCCTCGGGAAGCAAGTCAGTAAGCAGCACTCCATGGCCTCTGCATCAACTCCTGTCTCTGGGACCCTGTCCTGTTTGAGTTCCTGTCCTGACCTCCTTCAGTGACAAACAGCAAAACTGGTTATTAAGCCAAATAAACCCCTCCTTCCCTCAACTTGCCTTTTGGCCATGATGTTTTGTCGCAGCAATGGAAAGCCTAAGACAGATACTACTCCCAAAATATCGATATCTGACATCTGTAGCATTCAAATAAAGGTATTGAAATGAAAAATTCCGACCTACTGTTTCAGGAATGGAAATGGATTTTAAGTTGGCACCCCCAAATAAGACTTTTTGATTGATGCTTCTTCATGAACCTGAGCCACTAATGTTACGACTGCATTTGCTTGAACTGAAGGTTGACTAGGAGCTTGACAGCAAAATAAGGTTTAGTGTGTCTGGATTTCAGTTAGTCTGGCATTATTCTCTTAGTATCGTTGGGAAATATTAGAATGACCCATTTTTATGAGAGAACATTGTCCTCCATTTGAATATTCATCATTTAAATCTTAGAGAGCCTTCCCCTGTGAAACTTTGAAAGAGAACGGAACTAATATCCAAAGTACGCACAAATTACTCTATAAGCACCGTGTCTTTGTTTCCCCCTCTCTGCCTGTTTGTACTGCAATATTAATAAATGCAGCATTTTAATGAGTTTTGACTGAATCACCTTCAGAGAGTTGTTGCAGTAGGCTCCTCAGAGATACATGACTAAAGTTCCTGGGTTCTGGAGAGGAGTGTGCTCCTCATTAGCTAGGCACAGGGCTGCTGCTGCTCGGGAGAGCTGGGCACAGCTCAAGCCCACCTGTGCCTCTGCAGGACTGTGGCGCCTCTGCCCTGCTGTGTACCAACCCCGGGGCTTTCATTAAAAGTGTCAGGTGCTCTCCCCAGAGCCAGTGCTGATGGCATGTCATGCTGCCATCCCTAGAGGAGCAGCGCTGACACCTACTAATGGTCTGACAAACGGTTAAGTAGCTGTTTCAGCTCAGGTTGGGGAGGGGGTTTGCGGCTGCACCTGAGCATGTCATCCAGGGCTGGAATCTTCCTTCCCATCAGAGCTGAAGGGGATGCACGTCTTCCTGCCCCAGCAGGTTCCCCTTGCACTTCTTCTACAGAAGGCCTTGCCAAAGGAACCTGACGAAAAGTCAACGAAATTGGGCCTTGGTGGATTTCTGTGTCAGTGGCTTTTTGTGTGCCCCTTCGGTATTTGGGCTGCCACGCGTCACATGCTTAGAAAGCAGGTCAGAAGCCACTTTCATTCATGAAAGAGTAAGAGCCAGAATTGATAACAGATGTAGCCACAGTCAGAGGTCAGGAGAAAGAATGACTTCTTGGTACCAGAATCCTGGCGAAGCAGAGGCCAGTTCAGGTGTCGCTGAGGGAGAAGGGTGTCTATTGCATGTGTACTCTTGGTTGATAGAGTACATATAATTTTAGCTTGGTTATCTGGCTTTTTCAAGAATTCACAGGCCTCTGGTGTTATTTTTACATATTTATTTTATATTAATATAAAATAATTTTTATATACTTATTATTATATTTCTGCGGAATGGATACAGGTCCTTCCCATTGCTCGCAGCTGAGGACAGTGATGCTTCCATTTCTGCCCATGGATGCATTATTCTACAGGCAACTGAGATTATGAAACTGCCTTTGAAAGGCTTCTTCTTGGGCCCTGAGTTGTTCAGGCCATGAGTCAGTGCAATGGGGCTCTCATGTTTAATACTAATTCTGTCCCATGCTTCTACATTTGAACTTTAAAATTTTTTTTTAAATCATACCCATGTGCAGACTCCGGGACAAGTAAAACTCTGTAGGGATGTGCAGGGCCTCAGCACTCCTGGGTGTTTCTAAATAGAATTAGATGTATGTTCAGCAGCTTGAAGCATTGGCTAAACGTTCAGCATGCCTGAGTACATTTTGTGGTAGGTCCTAGATACCTATTAGAGGGACATCTGTCTTTAAGCCCTGTATCATGCCCCACTAATGTCAAATGGACATTGTAGCCATTCTTTCTTCCCCCGACAGATCCAATCTTAGGCCTCCCTGCCTGTCCCTGTGAAAGGTAATGGCTTTTCACTTGGGGGTTGTCAAGCAGATTTTGGATTTGAAGTGTCCTTGTTTCTTGTATGTGTTCTTTTGGAGAATAGAGGGAGATAGGAGAGAAAAAGGAGAAGATGTGAGGTGTGAAACAACTGTGTGTGTATGTATATGTATGCATGTGTATGCTTGTGCCTGTGTGATGTACCTATGTGCAAGGACTTACACTCACATGTCATAGAGGTGTATGAAGGTCATAATTCAATGTTGTGTCCATCATCATCTTCCACCTCATTTTAGACAGGGAACGTGTGTGTGTGTGTGTGTGTCTGTCTGTCTGTCTGTCTTCTGTATTTGTATTTTTGTGTCTCCCTGAGTATTTTACACTATACACCAGGCCAGTTGACTTAGAATCTTTCTGGAATTTTCTTGCCTCTGCCTCCCATCTTGCCTAGGTTTTTGTGAGTTCTAGAGACCTGAACTCAAATTTTCATCCTTTCCAACTCTATGAGATGAAATTTTTGAGTTAAAAATCAGCTCTGACCTTACTTCCTGAATTATACTTTCAATGTTTCATGGCATCACAAACTTTAGCATGTGGGGATCTCCTACTGGGAATGTAGATCATGTCTACTTATTCACTTAGGGTAGAGGCTTAGTTCAAAAGAGCCTTCTTGTACTCCGTTGGTCTATCTTCTCACTGCCTCATGGAAGTCAATGTTTTCATTTGCTTCCAATTATAGAAGAGTTATTATCTGCATTGGCCTAAAGAAAATTTAGGAAGATAATAGTGTTACACTTCAAATACATTGCTTTTAACTGGCACGTGATAGCAACATTATTGATTGTGGTGTTTTGGCATGTGTGTCATGGTATCATAATTCAATCAAGCACATGTACCATGTCTGTCATTTCGTATATCAAGCCTGTCTTTGTATATAAAGATCCAAAATCTTTTCCTGTAGCTCTTTTAAAACATCCAATATAATATTATTAACCGCAATCAGCACACTGCATAAGAGACCACCAGCATTTGCTCCTCCATAACCTTGTATTTGTATATAAATATTTCTTCATCCACCCTCCCTCTTTCTTCTTTAGCATCTTGTCACGACTCTTTCTCTACATTTCTTTTGATTCATTTTTATTTTTATTTTTTGTGTGTGTATTGGTGTTTTCCTGCATGCATGCCTTTGCACTATTTGCTTGTCTGGTACCTGTGGAGGCCAGAAGATGCTATCAGATCTCTTGGAACCAGAGATGGTTGTAAGCCGCCGTGTGGGTGCTGGTAATTGAACCAGAGTCTTTTGCAAGAGTAACTAATGATCTTAATCCAGCCCCCTCTTCATGATTTTGTCTATCCTGTCTATGAATGAGACCCTGCAGTGTTTATTTTTTCTGTGACTGACTTTCATAATATATTATCCTGCAGGCTCATCTGTGTTGCTGCAAATGACATGGTTTAATCCTTTTAATAGTTTAATCTTCCTTAGGACTGGTTGTAATTTCGTTGTCTGTATGTATCGCATTTTCTCCTATGCTTGGGTAGACACCTATGTTGTCTGTGTTTTGGGCTATTGTGAGGAATACTGGGAGAGACACTATGCTACAGAGACTGAAACCATTTCTCTTGGATATATATATATATGCATATATGGAAATATATTGGATATATATGTATATATGCATATACACATGCACACCCCACCCACCCACATATGTGTGTGTGTGTGTGTGTGTGAAAAGAGGATTGCTGCCAGATGATAGATCTATGTGTAGCTTTAAAAAGAACCCTGTTTATCCATAATGGCTTTACTGATTGTCCCACTATCCTCTAAGACTTCCTTTCCTTCATATATTTATGGTATTTGTTATATTTCCCCTTGTTTCTGTTTTCTTGAAGTACTAGGAGTAAAGCACAGGGCTTTTTACGTGCTAAATGCTTTCTGGCTCAATCCATCTCCAGTGCCATTTGCTGCCTGCTTGATTGCAGCTTTCTAACAGGGGTGAGATGCTCTATCATCGTGGCTTTGATTATTCTTTTCCTGAAGAGGAGTGATGTTGAATATTCACGTTTGGTGCTTTGAATGCCTTTTAATAGTCTTTGGACTATTTTTTAATTGAGTTAATTTTATTTTATTTTGCTATGGAGTTCCGTTTAAAGACACACAAGGAACTGAGGACCCTTCCGCATGCAGGCCTGGTGCACCCTCCTGTGAGAGCTGTGGTCATTAGTGTTCAGAGTGAACATTCTGGTGTCATTGATCTGGATCCGTTGATAAGTTAAAGACTGAACATTCATAAGCTTCCCTCACTTTCTGAATTCTCAAATGTGGATCCAGAAAGCCTGCTGGGAGCGCAGCCTCCCAGCCCTCTGTTTCTCTCCGTTCTCACAAGTTTATTGTGAAAGCACCCAGCTTTGGCTCGATTTGCTGTGTCCCTTGTGAGACTCATTGGTCTTTGATGGTTGTCTGTGTTCTCTTTCCAGGGAAGAGTGATCCTTTCTGCCTGCTGGAGTTGGGCAACGACCGACTTCAGACACACACCATTTACAAAACCCTCAATCCTGAGTGGAACAAAGTTTTCACATTGTAAGTGTGTGATGCCCTGGGATCCAAGAAGCAGCTTTGACTTAGAGAACAATTATCCCTGATGTCTGTGGGGCAGACTGGGGGGCTCTTGAGGGGAACTTTCCACTCAGTTTTATGTGCAAAGAGCGTATTTTATTGTTTTTTTTTCTCCAAAAACCTTTTATCCTTTTATTTTATAGTATGGCTTAATAATAGAAGAGAGCATTTAGAACTGTAAGGGACTGCTCAGGGACATTTATAAAATAGATCTCTTAGTAACTAAATTAATCTGTGGATAGATAGAAGCTTCTAGATGTCCAAACTAATCTATTTCTGGGTTAAGAAAAGTTACAAATGGAGTCCTGTCTTAAATTCTAAGCACTTACATGTTATGATACTATCTTAAATGCATGAAGATTTGTATTCTGTCAGAATCTTTTGAAAAATGCAGATTATCTGTGAATTCTTAAAGACTTCCAATGACTCCTGGTATTAATAATCCCTTCAATTAGAATGTCTGGCTCCTTTGGACTGCCCTGTGTATCTCATCAAACGTGGGCATCCAGAAAGCTGCATGTATTTAGTTTCTTAGTTTGCCTTAGATTTAAGGTACCTGGCAGTTAAAAGGAGACCCCCCCCATTGACCTTGGGTGAGTTGATGATGCTTTGCCCCCTCAAAACAGACTGCTTAGTCTGTGTTTATGAGTAGAAAGAGTCAGAATTGCCTCCGGTGCAATTGATGATATTTATAGGAAGTCCCTCAAAGGTCTAGCAGAAGCAAACCACCTGGAGACAGACACATCAGCCAACTGCCAGGTACAAGGGATTTTGACAAAAGCCTTGAGACTATTTTTTTATTGTCAGTGGTATTTGCTTTCTGCTCAATACAAAGAAAAAGTGTTTCTAAAATCATGCATGGGGCTTTTGGTACTTTACATTTCAATTAGAAAAGGCTTTCTGTGTACCTTATCTAATAATTTTATCCGATTTTCTTTTTAAGAAATGTATTAAAATATTGATTTGCTTATTTTTATGTTTGTATATATATACATATATATATGCATGTTAAGTATGCATGTAAGTGTGTATGCCTGTGTGAGCTTATATGTGCCGCATGTGCATTCAGAAGACCACAGAGGCTAGAAAAGGGGGTGGAATCCCTTGGAACTATGGTTGGTTACAGGCAGGGGTGAGATGCAGTGTGGGTGTTGGGAACTGAACCTGGGTCCTCTGTGAGAACAGTAAGTGCTTTTAACCCCTGAGCCACCTCTCTGGTCCCTCATATTTTTTCTTCATCAACTCCAAAGATGATTTTTGCTTTTCCCCATTGCTGGGTGACTTTGTAGCCCCTCTCCTTTCTCCTCTGATTTCTCTCTTTTTTTCTTTTCTTCTTCTTTTTAAAATCCTGTTTCTTTAAGAGTATCACCCTTGAGTGTACATGTGTGTGGAAAACGCCACAGGAAGAAAGTTGACTTCCTTCAGTATGTGCACATCTGAATTTTCCATGATGGAAGGTTTGGGAATAGTCAGTTTGATTTAATTTTGGGGGTTTAATTAAATGGTAGTTTTATACCCCGAGGACACACAGGCTTAATTAGTGCAAGTGTTTTCAGATCTTCATGGAGCAGTCACCCGTGTGTTTTTGTGTATAATACCTGATATTTCCTCTTTTAGCCCTATTAAGGATATCCACGATGTTTTGGAAGTGACGGTGTTTGATGAGGATGGAGATAAAGCCCCGGATTTTCTCGGAAAAGTGGCCATCCCCTTGCTGTCTGTAAGTCCTCCCCATTAATCAACAATTTGTAAGTCCGAGTTACTGTGGTCTAGAGTCATTTTATCTTTGTCAGTCATGGAGCTACAATGGAAAGTAGCATTTATACTTTGTACTTTAGATACAAAAAGACATGGCCTTTTCTGTGTGAGTCTAATATTTATTTAATCAACCAGATATTTTGGCCAGTCTTTCAATACACTCTCATACTTTCACTCCGTCTCAGAATAGCGGTTTCGGTCTGAATTCAAGGAGCGCAGCTCTCTCGTCAGGTTTCCTGCAGATGAAATGAGGAATACACACTGATTTCCTTTAACTTCCTCCCCGGCATCTTCGCTCAACATTAATTGGTGGTGACTGCTCACTTGTGCGCAGTTTTCCTAAAGACCCTTTCCCCACAAAGTTCTGTCTGTTATGGATGCTTTTAGACTTCAGATATTTTTGGTAGAAGAAAATAAAGATTTCCCTTGGAAAATTGAGAGTATTTCAATAATCGAATTAGGATCAGCAAAGAAGAAAACAGAATGAAAAAGAATGCTAAAAATTATGCAGTAGAGAAAGCATCCCTGAATACCTTTACAAGGGTGGAGGAGAAAATGTGGCCATCAATTACTCTTTTATTTATTTATTTGTTTGTTTGTTTGTTTATTTAATACCCCTTTTCCCTTTTGATGGGACATTAATATGTATCAAATGAACTTGTTAGAGGCAAGCATTTCAGTTTTCCAACCATTTGTAAAATTGGTTATACAGTCATTATGGGGTCACCAAAATATATTTCTTCTCTCATATTTTTTTTTCAGAGCTATTTGTACATTTTTTGTGAGTTGTGCACTCTGTGATCTAACCACAAGCTTCATCTTGCTCTCATAATGTTTACAGGGAGGGGAGCACTGTATCCTCTTAATATCTTTTCATCTGCTTTTGATCACTTGGTTAATTTCTCCCCAAGTTCTCATATCCCTGATGCTCCTCCAAGAGAACGCAGGCAGCAGCTGCTGGCTGCCGCAGCCTGCCCCCGCCACATGCTCTGAGCCCTCCATGGCAGGCGGCAGTGCTCATGGAGAGGAGATGGCAATCTGGGATTTCCCTCCACTTTTTTTTTTATTACAGCTCTGGCAGATATTCCTGCAAGAATAGATATAGCAAGAATATGGGACACACTTTAAAAGACGTCTAAAGAGGGATGGTACAAAGCCCAAACATCCATCCATAACAATTCAGTATGTGTGTATGTGAGCAGAGAGAGTAGTCTCTTTATTTTTCTCCCACTCTCTCTCTCTCTCTCTCTCTCTCTCTCTCTCTTCCTCCCTCCCTCCCTCCCTCCCTCCCTCCCTCCCTCCCTCCCTCCCTCCCCCTTACACTTTTGAATGGATTGATCTTCAGTGTATTTTATTCATTGGCATTGAATACACTAGGATAGTTTAGAAGCCCTTGATCTTTTTTCCTTTGGTCATAAAACTTCCTACATTTTTTTCCTCTATAGAAATTGCCTTTGCTTACTTACTTTAGTTCCCTAGTCACTCCTTGTCTTTGTCCCTTTCTCCCTCCCTTCTCCCTAGACCTAAGACAGGATGGCCAGCTGTATCAGTACCATCCAGTCCTAAGGCTGTTGACCTTTGGAGTCAGAACACTTACTTATATGCTTCCCATGCATTTTGGGGTGCCCAGCAGATTCCTGGCTTTTCTCAATGACAGTAGCACGTGTTTCTTTCTACCTTAGTAAAGACTGAAAGATAACCCTAGACGTTGACAAAAGGACTGAAGGGGGTGGACTCCCTCATGGAGGCAACAACTGAACTCAACTAATGGATTCATTTTTCAAAATATCCTTCGCCAAGTAGAAAATTATGTGAAAGGCATACCTTACTTAAACCCGCTTTAATCACAAGCCGAGCTCCACAGTGGAGTTTTGCAATACAGAAACAAGCTGTACCAGGGTCTATTGTTCATTCATTTGTTTAGCAGAGGCTGATGAAATTTCACTGTGTTGCAGGCGGTTTTAGCTAACAGGGCTCTAATGCTGACCACAAGAAGTAACCTCTTCCCTTGTTGTTTATATCATGTTTTCTTTGAGACGAAGATACAGAAAGATGACTAAAATGAAATTAATATCCAGTGTTACATGATAAACACCCACGGCTGGTACATCAAGAATCTAGGGACAAGAACCTCAGTTCTCCATGGCTACATGGTTCTGGTTGCACACGAAAGGGGATATTAAAGTAGGAATTCAAGTAGTTGACATTGCAAGCAATGTAAGTATTGGGGAAATTTTAAGGCAGGAAAGAATTTATGTTCAAAGGTTTGCTCAGAGGATGGACTTTGCCTGACAACATTCAGAGTTGGCTGGGAGGGCAGTATAGATGGAATGCAGGGGACAGAGAACAGTGGCCTATGGAACAGAAAGGGACACAAGTGCAGGGTAGTGGCAAGCTTTGCAGTACCTTGAGAGCCTGTGAAGGGGTTGAGCTTTTCCTAAGTGAGGAATGGGGAACTACACCTTTACTTCCTGTATTATTTAGAGTTTCTACTGCGGTTATAAAACACCATAGCCAAAAGCAACTGAGGGACGGGGGGGATGGCTTTTATTTTAACTTAGAGTTGTGCATTTTGGTCCATGGCTAAGGAAAAATGGGGACAGAAACTCAGGGCAGAAACCTGGAGGCAGAACTGAAGCAGAAGCCACCAGAGGGGTGCTACTTACTGGCTTTCTCCTCATGGCTTCCACGGCCTGCTTGCTTACAGCATCCAGGACCACTAGCCATGGGAGGGCATTGTCTACAGTGAGCTTGTTCTTCCCACATCAATCATCAGTCATCAATCAAGACTCTGGTTAGAGCATTTTCCCACCTGAGGTTCCTTTTCCCCAAATGACTCCCACCTATATCAAATTGACATAAACCTAGCAGGACACATTACTTATTTGTTGTAAATACAAATAACACGTGGTACAACCAGGAGAATGCCCCAACTTAGCAGTCTCTGCCTTGCATAGCAACCTGGCCAAGGGTGTAATCCTCTTAGTTACCTTGGGGACGCTGGCATGGCACTGAGTGGCCGGTTCTGCTGCTGCTGTCCATGCAATTGATTTGATTGGGATTAATTTTAATTCCTTGACTGATGGTTTGGCGAAATGACCAAAGCCTAGTGTCGATCTGTGTCTCCTTGACATCAGGTGGTCCACTTGCAGCAAATTGACCTTTTCAAATTAATTTATTTTCTAATAGAATGCAGATTATAAATGTGATTTCTAAATGTCACGACTCTCACTATAACTGAAAAATTATAATCCAATAATTATTTAATTTATTGTTCTATTATCAAATAATACTGACCTGTACTTGGGAGGCTTTGTTTAAAAGATATGACTGCTTTAGGTGTATGTACCTTTTCTTTAGTTTATGTCTCTTGCGGGATGCATAGCTAACAAGTTCAGCATGGTTGCTATGGTAAATCATTCATTTTCTAACAGCTTACTTTTTCAAAATTATTTCTGGCCATTTACAAATTAGTGACCCTGTACTATAGCAGTTTAGTAAGCAAGTTTTTGTGTAGATACCCTCATGCTGGAGTCTGAGTTCCCCGAAGTTTCTTAGATAGCCATAGTGAACTCCCATCTTGCATCAAGCCATGAGGAATGCTAAGGATGTGTTTGCACAACTGTGATATGTGTGCAGAGAGACACGGCAGAAGTGTTAGACTCCTAGGGAGATATCTTTCCATTCGGCACAGATAACAGAAAACCACCAATGCCACAGGAAAGGAAAGAGATGCTGTGAGATACATGGATTAATGTTTGAGAAGACATTGAGAAGCAGGGGTTTGCACTGGCTCCGGAAGGAGTAGCGTGTTGATTGTAACTGCTGGATGAACAAGGAAGTCCTCTAAATAAGAGGTGAAGCAGGCCCAGGGAAATGGTCATGTGGGAACAAGGAGGCGCTGGGTCTCAATGTGAGAGTCGGGGGTGGGTGGAAGGGCATTGGATCTTCTGTTAGCAGGAATCCAGGAGGGGTTTTGAATAAGAGGCAGCGACTCTAGAACACCCCACTAGAACCGTGGTGTGAGAAGACCCCAGAAGATTTCTTAAATATTCAAGAATTAACAAAGAATATGCTCAACTTTTTTTTTGTATTTCTTAGGAAATGGGCTGATTCCTTCATTTATTTTTCATTGTGTGAAAGAATTAGGAGAGAAAAGCCTGCAGTACTTAGTAGTCATTTTACAAGAGAAGGAAAACTCTACTCAGTGTTGCATTCTTTTAGTTTGGTCTGGTAGCACGGGTCCATAATCCCAGAGACTTAGGAGATGGAGGCAGGGGAATCATGAACTCAAGGCCTACCTGGGATGCATAGTGAATCATTGCCAGGCTGGTCACTATAGGGAGATCCTGACTCAGCATAAAAGTAGAACTGGGGATAGACTTTGATGATGGAACACTTGCCTACCATGGAGAAGGTCCCAGGTTCAATGCTAGGACCACATGACAAAAACTTACAGTGAACAACATATTCCTAAGTGAATGGGGGTCATTTTGTGCAATCATTTTCACTTTACCGAAGTCCTGAACTAAAGTTCCACTCCCTGCTGGGTAGTGTTGTACTTCAGGATTCTGACGATGTGACGATAAAACACCAGGATCAAAAGGAACTTGGAGAGAAACGGGCTTATTTTAGCTTGCAGTTCCACATCACAGCCCATCACCGAGGGGAGTCATAGAAGGAACCCAAACAGGGTAGGAAGCTGGAGTTAGGAACTGGAGGAATAAGGCTTACTGGTTTGCTCCTCATGACTTGCTCAGCCTGTTTTCTTACAGTACCGGTGCCTACCATGCCAGGGATAGCACCACCTACCTTGAGTTGGCTCAGGCAACATCAATCACTAATTAAGAAAATGCCCTGCTGGCTTGCCCACGAGCCAGTCTGGTAGGAGGCATTTTATCAACTAAGATTCCCATTTTCCAAATGACTCTAGCTTGGGTCAAGTTGACACAAAACTGTTCC